GCCACATACGTGTACGTGTTTATCGGGAGGCGCTTTCTTTTTTAACAAACTCCGGAACTAGAACCGGAATTCCGGAGTTGAGTGCCCAATATCGAAAATCAGTTCCGGAGTTGAAAACTATCCGATATTGCAAGCCCTAATTGTAACATTTATCAACAAAACGGTAGCATACGAAACGAAAAGGATTAGGGAAAAAGAAAAGCTAGAGGAAATGGCCGTTATGACATAAAATCCACTGTTTATCTCATATTTAAAATAGGTGCTTATTTGCACATTTATTTTGTATAGTCAAATGTGCCAACAACTATCCTACTTTACTCAAGTGATAAAAATAGTTAAACTGGACGCCAGTCTCCGAAATAATGTGTCATTGAATCAAAATCTTTTTTGCTATTCAATTAATGCCATAGATAGAGATTTTGTCCGTATAGTATAGAGTACTTATACAAAGAACATTATATTAAATACGACAAAAAATACAAATAATACACACACCTGAAACCACAATAACCGGTAAGTACCTACGTTATTAATTATGTTCAAATAATGATTCGCCATAATGAATCGTCGAAAACCACTTTATGGTCAATGAGCGCCGGGAAACGAGCAACGCACTTTTTGAAAGCAAATCAATTTCAGAACAATTAATACGGAAACAATTTCATTATTGTCTTTGAATTGATTCTGTAAGCGAGATAGACGCAACAAAATCTCGTTTATTTTAAGGCAATACGATTGGTATTTGCATGGCAATTTTAACAGCTGCAGATGTCGATTGGCTTTGATATCTGTAGGACGGTATTATGCAGAAGCAAACTATATTGAAGTAGTTGGAATTCAATAAACAATAGAATGATTGGAATGTTCGGCAGAAGTCTTATTTGGTACTTAGTTTGTAAATGTTCTATGTAATTTTATTAGTTCTGCTGCTCATGATGTTCATTTATCCTTCATGCTAAATTGTTCTGTAAGTACTCGCAAGTTTAGCTTCTATTCTTTTTGCATAAAATATTTTTGTCTGCACTTTCTTTTCTTTTACCGACGTTTATATCCTTTGCCTAACACCATCCTCGCAATCCTTTGTTTGTCGGTCTGTACACCCTTTCTCATATTGTTCCGGGCGAGCGGTTTCATATGTGTTTGCTCAATCTAATTGCTACTCAGTCATGGGGTATTCATCGGAATGAATCATATTGCAAACTGGTCTGTTTGCTCATTTGAACAGTCTAGAGCGGATTATTTTATGATATTACTAGCTTTTGTACCCTCAGGTTTTGTATCGTGAAATTATTTGACTAAATTAGAATTAGGTATCTCTTATATTTTTTCACTCGTCTTGCTATGTTTTTCTACGTAGGTAAAACCTTTTCAGGAGGTTACTGGGAAAATTGTGTTTCATCTTGTGAACAAGCAACAAAAAAAAATAGGATTACTCTCATGCTTTTATTCTCATGATGCCAAACGACAAAATATTTTTTGTCATTTTAGCATCACGATCACTAAGCGCGTCCTTAAAATTTTAAAGCAACGTCATGAGTAACAAGCACATGTCATCATTGGTAAAAAAGTCAAATAAAGTCACAAAGTTTCTAGCTCAATGTTACAAAAGGCACATGAGCAATACCGTTCCCCAAAGTGACTACAGACGTGGTACAGGTGGAACAGAAAAAGTATTGCGTATTTTTTTTTCGTCGGTGCTCCACGTCGTTCAAACGCTCGTAATTGGACTTTGATGGCATTTTGAACTTCCATAACAACTCATCTACGAGTTTGAAAGGTTTGGCGATGTGGTCTCGGTGTTAATGTTTGAATCATAATTATTCGTTTTTTACTGACGTTGAAAAATACTGCTTATTTCGTTGCGAATACATATTTTTTAGTTACTACTATACTCTTGATTCTTGCGCATTTAAACAATTTGATTAGAAGACTAAGGTTGGGTTGCACCATCTTACTTTAACTTTGACAAATGTCAAAAATCTGTCAAACTCCATACAAAATACACTGGTTATCGTTATAGTCACTGTTAACTTAGCCTTACTATTCTTTAGTTAATTACTTGAAGATTCAAGGTAGATAGTGTAGTGTGTATTAGTAAAACAGAAAAAAATATTAATTGGACTAAATATGCAACATAGGTAAGGCAATAGTATGTAAGGTAGGTTTTTCATTTTCTTTTTCACCAAGTATTTGTACCTGTCCAAAGCATTCCGGCCCGTAAATAGGTAGCATATAATAAACTCTTCTAAAGGTACTATGGGTTAACATTTTCCATATTTTGTATCATTATAGGAAATCGAGGGATCCCTCTCTTATCTACAGTCGTCAAGGTAACTCCGGGGGTGAGATGGGGTAGCTCGAACTACTTCAAGTGGGTAAGGCAGCTTTTACAAAACGTGTGCACAACTTTAAGGTATTGGAACAGTATTTTTGTAAAAATTTACCTTCTAAGCCCGCGGCTATTGATAAGCCTACATACGACCTATCACAAAATGTCTTTAATTTTCATATCAGTGAATAAGTCACTTAATATTTTACCTAAAGCATTAAATAACATTTTCAGGTCGAGGTAACTTTGGAAATCATTGATTTTTGGTAAAAAGTAGTCTTTATACTTTCCTGAGTCCCTTTTTTATATGCCATATCTAAAACGAATCATTCCCATCAGTTTTAAAGTTTAACTGCAACATCTTGAAACTGTTAAGGTTTTTAACCATATAGCGTTCTAACCAAAGAAACATGTGCCTTACAGTGTAGTGTGTTCACAGCCTTACACTCAGACGCACACAATTAAGTCTTACAGTTACAACCCCTTATTTGATCACTTAAATTGGTTTCTGTCTTGCTGGGTCTTCTCGTATATCAAAGTACGCGTCACTGCGAAGTTTATAACAGTTTGGTATATCAGCACATACTTATCCGACCCGCAGGACAAAATTGGCACCTTATAGGAGGGCGATGGAGCGGGCTATGCTCGGAGTTTCCCTACGTGATCGAATCAGAAATGAGGAGATCAAGCTTCCCACTAGATGGATCGACGATCTGGTGAAGGTCGCGGGAAGAGCCTGGATGCGGGCAGCGCTGGACCGGTCGTTATGGAAATCCTTGGGGGAGGCCTTTGTCCAGCAGTGGACCTCATTTGGCTGAAACGAACGAAGGAACGAAGGCGGTATGAACCACACTCCTGTAATTAGAAGAGATCAATTTAGTTTAATACTGCATATAATAGGGATGTTTCCTGGGTCAAAAAGCAAGAGTTTTAATTAGTCCGTCAGTTAACTTATCAAAAAAGTGTTACATATGCAGAGTGCATTCAGCTACACAGATCCTGTTAAGACGTGGTAACAGTGACCTCTTTTTATCGGCCTTTTTATGGGAATATGAATTTTCATAAATACTTGGTATTTGTTTGGTTTTAATTTTATTTATTTATTTTTTATTTATTTATATTAGGGAAACAAACAATTTTCATATACAGACAAATAATCACACCATAAATAATAAATAATTGTACCAACTTTGCTTAGTTTTGGACATATTGCTTACTTTAAATTGTCATAAGCATATTATTTTTCGTCTCAGATATCCAGTCAGTCAGTCAGACACCTTCGCCGCTGGACTATTGTTGCCTTATTGTATTAGGTATATTATAATCATAAAAATAATGTCGAGTTTCCAATACAAACGTCAGGGCAAATTGTAATTTATAAAGTTGTTGTTTGTTATCTTTTAGTTTGTACGTCTATCCAAAGCTATTGTCACAAAATATTGTATTTAATTATCTCACTTAATTCTTGTGAGAAATAAAGATCTTAAACCGCAAGTTGCTTTATACTAATTAATACACACATCAATGGAAACGCACTGTAACTTGCTTTTAACGTTCATGAAAATTTAATCAGCCTCTCAATAATTAATTCATACACATGTTTGTCCAATGAATAAGTTATACCACTCCATCGCACGTGTTAATGCAAGTAATTATAATGCGTTGTTAGTATTGTAAACAGTACTGCATTAATTGCTTTTTGTATCTGCTGAAGGGGTGGCCGATGTTGAAACTAAATGTGTCGATATATCGATAAGAAGTCCATGCTAAGTCGATAATACTCAAGCACAGCTTTGGGGTTTTCTTTGCTCAATTTTAACATTGACACTCAATGCGATTGTAACGTGCTGAACAAGATTATGCATTAAAGTGAGTCTGTATATTTAGATATACAGATAGGAGCTATTGAAACGCCCAGATTCTTCAAGATAGTTTATATTACAAAAATGGCTCTTTACATTGCAAAGGTCGGTAGCGGAATGAGACTGACAGTTGGTTTTAATATGAACTATGCAAACTACTTATACTAATCTACAGTTGATGTTACACGGAGGAAGAATTGTGGTAAAAGTTTGCGTAGGCGTTACGCGCCGAAACATCCTCCCGGCCGTTGAAAGATCACTTTCAACCTTGAAGATCTTCAGTCGTAGGGAGTGGACAGAGGCGAGTTAGGGGCCGCCGCACGCAGCCACGGGTCGTGTTGACATCCGCCACTCTCGAGATGCCGTCGGGTCCCGGGAAGAGCCGCAACACGCGTCCCAGGCGCCAGTTCAAGGGCGGCGCGTGGTCTTCAGCAAGGAGTACCATATCTCCAATATTGAGCTGGGCTGTATTGCTACGCCATTTAGTCCTCTGTTGTAGCTCTGACAGATACTCCTTGTTCCACCTCCGCCAGAAGTGCTGCCTTATGCTTTCTAGCCGTAGATAGCGGTTCCGTGGATGGTCATTGTGGTGGTCTTCAATAGGTGGCGTGGGTAGTGCAGTCAGCGGCCTGCCGATGATGAAGTGCCCTGGGGATAAGGAGAGGAGGTCGTTAGGACAGGAGGACATGGGACACAAGGGACGGCTATTGAGAAGTGCCTCCACTTGTGCAAATAAAGTAGTAATTTCTTCAAAAGTTAAATTAGAATTTCCCATGACACGCTTTAAGTGGTGTTTTGCCGATTTTACCCCAGCTTCCCAAATACCACCGAAATGAGGAGCGTAAGTAGGTATGAATTTAAATGTGATGCCTTGTTGACTTGCAAAATCACCTATAGGTTCTTGGTTTTGTTTTAGAAAAGTTCCTATATCCTTAGCCGCCGCCACAAAGTTGCGACCGTTATCGCAAAATATTTCCGTTGGCTTGCCTCTGCGGGAAATAAAACGTCGAAGGGTCATAACAAACGCATCCTTTGTCAAATCGCTCACGGCCTCGAGATGAATACATTTGTACCGCATGCATACAAAAAGACATAAATAACATTTGATTAAGCGACTTCCGCGGCCCCGGCGATTGAGAATCAAAAACGGTCCAGCAAAGTCTAAGCCAACCGACAAAAATGGATAGTCTGGATTTATGCGCTGGCTAGGTAAGTTGCCCATCTTCGGACATAATGTTTTGCCACGCAGACGCCTGCAGATGACGCAGTTATTTACGGTGCGTCGTGCTAGATAACGTCCATTGACTGGCCAGACTGTTTCTCTTATATTTGCTAACAACAACTGCGGGCCCGCGTGTAAACCACTTACGTGCTCTCTTTCAAAATACAATTTAGTTAATTTATGATTTGCGTGTAATAATATTGGATGCCGTTTTTCGTAGGCACAGGCAGATGCATCTATGCGCCCGCCAACTCTAATTAAATTATCATTATCAAAAAATGGCGAAAGTGACAAAATTTTACTCTTATTGGGAAGCGATTTACATTTTAATAACAACTCGTATTCAACAGGGAATGACTCACGCTGCGCGATAACGCACAATGCATGGAATGAGTCACGAAGTTCCTCGACGGACAGTAGTCCGGTACGTTTATTTTTAATATTCTTAAGGTTAAATATGAACCTTAACACGTAGGCAAAAGATCGTTGCAGTCTATTTAGTGATGAATATTTATCAAAATTAATAAAAGGTTCTTTAATTATTGTTGTGTGTACTTTAGTTTCAGGTAACGTACCTATCTCGTTTGATTTCAAGCTAGGCCAGTTTAATTCACACTCTTTTAGGTAATTAGGGCCGTGCCACCACAGACTTGAATTAATTAGATTATAGTGCGTAGTAGGGTGACCATAGTTACGGCCTTAGAATTTATGGATTGTTTCTAAACCCTTTTTTTAAATAATGTAAATGTTTTGTAGCTCGTTTATATGTATTTTCTATTTTGTTTTCCATAGTGAATGAAGTTGTAGTTAATGCATGATTACAATGAATGTTTTTGCTGACCAATTGTGTATTAAAGGAACCGGTAATTATCCAGCCCAAATGAGAACTTATTAATTTTGGATTTTGGGGACCAAGAGATCGTTGTTCGCTCCTTATGATGTCCCAGAATAAATCAGCCCCTATCAATAGATCTATAGGAGCTGGCTCATAGAATTTAGGATCAGCTAGCAATATATTTTTTGGTAATTTAATTGACTGAATATTGACGGGGTACTTTGGTATACGCCCTGTCAATTCTTGTAGAACAAGACATGAAAAAGAGACATTGAAATTGCTATTTAGTGATTTCATTTGTATATTGCAACTTTCAGAAATGTTTATAGAATTGTTAGAATTATTGCCTATTCCTTTGACCTTTAGCGAGTCAATGGGAATTGATTTTAGTGAAAGTTTATCTTTTAGTGACTTGGAAATAAAAGATGATTGGCTACCACAGTCTAATAGTACACGAACATTAACCTTTTGCTGGTCAATTGGATTCGAGACCTCAACTACAGCGGTAGATAATAGTACTTGCTTGGTACTTTCTTTAGAAAAGTATGCACCCGATTCGCTGGGCTCATACGTATCTGAATTAGGCTCGTCTACGTTCACATGATGATTGACTAAGGAAGCTGAATTGTGAAGCAAACTATTGTGCCTAGCGTTACACTCGCGGCATGAACCCATTCGGCACTCGTTGACCGGGTGACCTTGCCTGAGACAGTTTTCACACAGCCTATGTTTCAGAACATCCTTCATCCTTTCATCAACATCCTTGGCCTTGAACGTAGGGCATTCATAAATTTTGTGGTTATTATTGCAAATTACACATGTATAAGTGCTAGATTTATTAAATTGTCTTTGAGGCTTATTATTAGAACTCGCAAATGATTTTATGTATGAATTATTATTATTATTGCCCTGTTTATTATTTTGCCATGAATTATTACGCACATTGACCACTGGGGCTTTGACAACAGCACTTTGCGTGTCTTGTGCCCTGTTATTTCGATTAAGTGACTCTAATACATTCGCACGGTCAATAATGAAGTTAAAAAATTGTTCTAAAGTTGCGGTATCACCACTTAAACCACTACGGTGCTCTTCCCATTTGCCTAAAGTATTACTATCTAACTTGGAGGAGAGCATAAATATAATTAAGACATCCCACTTGTCAGTTGGCTGTCCCAAAGTGGCAAGGGCACGCAAGTTTTTAGTAACGTGGTCGACTAAAAATCTGAGAGATCTCTCCGACTCGCGCGGAAGTGGCTTAATGCTGAATAATGCATTCAAATGGTGATTTATTAAAGTGCGCTTGTTATTATACCTATTACATAACAATTTCCAGGCCTCATCATAGTTCGCTGATGACACCTCGAGATTGGAAATTACTCTGGCGGCATCACCCTCCAGATATGAAATTAAGTAATGGAACTTGTGAATAGGCAAAATACGCAAATTGTTGTGAATTAAGTTTTCAAATGTGTCGCGAAACTCAAGCCAACGGAAATATGCGCCATCAAATTTTGATATTTGTATCTGAGGTAGTTTTAAATTATAATTGTCCTGATTATCCATGCAAAAAGATTCATACATTGATGCACGCCTATTTTCTGACTCTAATTTTCTTGTAAATTTCTCTAAAATAGTTTTGGCAGTGGCAATATTAATAATGATGTCGCGATCAATTTTGTCACGTTCATCAATTTCATTTTCTATATTATCTGAATTTAAAACCTCTATGTCATTTTGCAAGTCATCAACCTTAACTGATAACGCTTCGAATTTTGCAAGTTTTAGACTTAACTCTGTTAATTGAATGTTAGTTAAATCTTCGCTATTAGAAATACTATTTATATAATTCTTAAATTTTGTGATCTGTCCTTTGGCGGACGATCGCCTTGTTAATAAATCCTTCAAACGAGATTTATCTTCCGCGTTAGGCATAGTTATCTAAGAAAATGAACAACTACAATGAAAAATATGAAATAATAAATAAATATGAAAGGCTCACGCTCCTCGTCTCGGTGGTACTTGCCGCAGGAACCGGTCAGCTGGCCGCCGCCGTTATCGGGTAGCCGGAGGTATTAACGCAGCTGTTTGATTGCGTAGCGCAAGCGTTAATTACACCCTGAAATTGTCGGCAATATGCTTTAATACCTATCTTAGATCGAGACGAGTTGACTGTGATGACTAGTCTATGGAAATAATCTCAAAAACAGCTAGTAAATTGCAAAATCTATGAAAAGTTAATTTGTATTTCAATATTTATCAAATATATTATGTATTCATTACTGTATTTATTAGGTAATTGATGTTTAATGCAAAACTATCTTGAAATTTGTTTTTATTTTGTAACGACGGTAGATTCGAATGATGATGCAATCTCGTTAACGAATTACTTGTTATGAAATTCCACAATTATTTAACACAAATGGATGCAGATTCTTAATAGGAGATTTAGGACATGGATTTAGTAAAGGAAGTGTAAGGAAGGGCACTTATCTTTTAGCAGAACCGCCGCGCACGATGTGGAACTTTAGCTGCACCACTGCTCGCACCATCCGGCGTATTTTCGCGAAATTCTTCAATTCTTCATTTGTTGTTTGGATTCCCCTCATGGGCCACCATCATGTATATTTAGATATACAGATAGGAGCTATTGAAACGCCCAGATTCTTCAAGATAGTTTATAATACAAAAATGGCTCTTTACATTGCAAAGGTCGGTAGCGGAATGAGACTGACAGTTGGTTTTAATATGAACTATGCAAACTACTTATACTAATCTACAGTTGATGTTACACGGAGGAAGAATTGTGGTAAAAGTTTGCGTAGGCGTTACGCGCCGAAACAGAGTCTATCCCTAATCCCAAATTATTTTTAAATTTTAATTAGCGTTCAAAAATCTTGCTGAATTTGACGCCAAATCAACAGGAAAAAACCTATTGATTGTCAATTCCTCCGAGTCTGGAACTGGTCGCCGACATTCGTTTCTTCACATGACTGCCCGCCGACACAACATTTCGTATATCGCCGCTTCGCCAACAGAACCTGTCACCAGCGTACGATTCGTCGACAGCACAGTTCGTCATTAGATATTTCGCCTACGAACGATTCACTAAGCCGATACTTCGTCAATTTTAGGTAACTAATCATCTTAGAATTATTCAAATAAAGTTAGGTACTTTCGGACTTATGAAATTTAGCATTAAAAGTTTTATTATGTGTATTTCCCACACATAATAAAACTTTTAATAGTCGATGAAAATAGAAAAAATAAAAGAAAATAGGAAAAAACATTATGATTTAATGTAATACAAACTTAAATAAGCAATACTTTTGTAATGTAACAATCGTCAAAATCTATATTAATTAATGATTGATTTGATTGATGATTTTTTTAAATCATGGTGAACCAAAATACGCTTTCCGCCCGCGCTTTCGCCCGCGTGGAATTTTGTCTGTCATAGAAAAACTTTATCGCGCGCGTCCTTGTTTCAAAAATACCGGGATAAAAACTATCCTATGTCCTTTCTCGGGACTCAAACTATCTCTATGCCAAATTTCATCAAAATCGGTTCAGTGGTTTAGGCGTGAAAGCAAGACAGACTTGTCTTGCTTTCACGCCTAAACCACAAAAGTATTGCTTATTTAAGTTTGTATTACATTAAATCATAATGTTTTTTCCTATTTTCTTTTATTTTTTCTATTTTCATCGACTATTAAAAGTTTTATTATGTGTGGGAAATACACATAATAAAACTTTTAATGCTAAATTTCATAAGTCCGAAAGTACCTAACTTTATTTGAATAATTCTAAGATGATTAGTTACCTAATTGACGAAGTATCGGCTTAGTGAATCGTTCGTAGGCGAAATATCTAATGACGAACTGTGCTGTCGACGAATCGTACGCTGGTGACAGGTTCTGTTGGCGAAGCGGCGATATACGAAATGTTGTGTCGGCGGGCAGTCATGTGAAGAAACGAATGTCGGCGACCAGTTCCAGACTCCAATTAAGTAAGGCTGCACCATCTTACTTTAATTTTAACAAACGTCAAAATTCTGTCAAACTGCATACAAAAAATACCGGTCTTCGTTTTAATTATACATACGGGCTACCTTACAACATAAGGGCTACCTTTTCTTTTTTATTATTTACTATATTTTGACGTTCATAAGTGCCACTTGTGGTCTAAACTGAAGAAATATTTTTGATTTTGATTTTGAATTATGGTTAAAATTAGGTGGTGTAACTCAGCCTAAGTCATACTAATAGACTCAATGATATATTGGATTCAAATCAACGCCTATAGCTAGCTTAGCCGAACTAATACCTACCCTCAAGATTAGTCCAAAGGTCTCGTTTCTTGGTTATACGCTTATGTGCGGCCTCGGCTAATCACATAATCTCGCGTTCTGTAGATAATCTAGATAGATTTGTTTCGAAACTATTAATTTGTGTAGTTAAATCCCTTGACTTAGAGTTTAGAGCATTATTGCGAGACTATCTAATCTACTTGGTAGTTTTACAGATGATATTGACGTGGAAAATGTGAATGGAAAAGAACTATATAACATGGGTACCTAACTAAAAAGGTGAGGTGTTGAAAAAGCTGTTAGTGTGTACTTAACTTTATAACATTTGAATCACTTTTTTTAAAAACTGCAACTGCAGCTATCATTGTGTCCAGTTGACCAGTTCTTCAGTAAGAGAGAGAAAGACTATACTTTATATGGACAACTAGCAGTTCGTTCGTTCGTTTCAGCCAAAAGACGTCCACTACTGGACAAAGGCCTCCCCCAAGGTTTTCCACAATGAACGGTCCTGCGCTGCCCGCGTCCAGGCTCTTCCCGCAACCTTTAGCATCGTCGGTCCACCTTGTAGGAGGCCTGCCCACGCTACACATAGCTAGTAGACACGATGGCCGTTGGGGCAGAAAAGTTCTCGAGTGGCGACCACGGGCTGAAAGTTCGTTTGTTTCAGCTAAATGACGTCCACTGCTCGACAAGTCACCCCCAAGTATTTCCACAAAAGCCGGTCCTGCGCAGCCCTAAGCAACACTTTCACAACTAGCAGAAAATAGTAANCACTTTCACAACGTATGCATATGCGTAGGAGATTCGAAGTTTATACAAAGGGGAAACACATGACATTTGCCCCAAAGTAATCCACAATTTCCAACTTCCAATCCACTATACATCACAGTAACACCTACGGCCAAAATTATCGCTCGCCGAGACAATAGCTCTGCGGATAACTCGCAAGTGTGGCTCAAGGTGGATTAAAGTGGATTGGAATGGCTCAAGCAGCCCGGCTCAGTGGCTAATAGTCCGGCCGTTAGGTTTCTATGCAGGATTCGTGGCTCAACTGAGGTCTAGCGTTAAACTTCTACCTGCTAAGTAGTTTGGTAAAAAACCTTTTTGTAACGACCTTTTTACGAAGTACGGGACTATTCCCACCTCTTGTTCCCACCGCTGCAACTCCTGTGCAGCTAGGATCTACAGCTTAACCGCCATAAAAATCCAACCAATGAAGGTCAAGTTTGTCCCGGGAGAAAGTTAAACTGTCATTGGACCCGCAACAAAATTAATCAGAAGAACTCAGAAGAACATAGGAGCATTTCAAAATTAAGGTTCGACTTCCCTCCATTGCAAAGCGAAAATCACGAAGTAGGTAAAGTTGTGTACATTGCCATTAAATGTATGGTAGTACAAATTGGCCTTATAAATCGAGTGCCTTTTTCGTTTCTAGCATGTACTATAAGGTGCTAACCACTATGCAGCAGAAGGAACACTTCAGATTTTAAGTGGGTTCAAGCCCTACATAACCTGCCGCCCCCGGCGGCAAGAATGGACAGTCCATCTTCCTGGGTAAAAAAGCCTTGTAAATAGAATCTAACTGTAATAATCGAACTGAAAAATAGAAACTGAAAATGTTCCCTACAAATGAAGCTCAAAGTGACCAGTAACAGTGAACGTGAACGTATCTTGAAATGATTTTGGTTGTTACCCATATCATTTAAAGATTGATCAACATTATCTGTGGCAACGTGAAGTAGGTAGGTAGCTAATATCGATTTTTTATCGTAATTATTCATGAAAATGATGTAACAATGAAATAATGAAGTACATTACACGGGTTAATTACCCCAAAACAAAAGCGAATGCAGCTCCCTATGGGAACTTGACAGCAGTATTCATGGGTCATCGGTGCACTCGTATGGCGATACAATATTCAGGGCTGTCCCCGGCGAGTCACATGAATAAAAACAATGAACGCATATTGCTCGGCCGCGGGATATGTCATTTGAACTTAGGGTTGCCCCGTTACGAAGATAAATCTAATAACTGACATGAAATTGAACTAAGATGATTGAAGTATCACGTACACTGATGGTAATTCATGTCAACTTAGTGCCAACTTTATTAAGTATGTCATTGCTTTTTCAAGGAATAAGCAAGAGAAGGTGTATGCTTATTGTGCTCTCGGAACCTTTCAAGACACCATCGAGTGCAATGCATTTTTTCACACTGCAGAGAGCATAACATTCAACAGTGTTTGAATTTAAAGTCTTTCAATTTTGTACAGCTGTTTTACTTACGAGTTAGTATTATTTACTTCACTAAAAAACACAAAAGAAAGCGTTACCAGTAGAGCTTTTTTCAACTGCCTTCTTTCTATCTACCCACAGAATCCCCTAAATACTTATTTTGAGCTTGTTATGTGGTGGACATTACAAAAGAACTAGCTTTTTTAAAATCCTAATTAGACTGTCGCCTGAACTAACGATTTGAAAGCGTAGCCAGCCCTAGTTGTATGAAAACAAACGCTATTAACATACAAAGAGCGGCATCGCGTGCGTTCGCGCAAACCAGATTGCGTTAGGACAGCCCTGGCGAAAGTATTTAATATTCTTGCTTCATTTATCTGTAGCACGCAGGAATTTTAGAAGGGATATATTTTAAAAATGTAACCGAGTTTTTTCATACATAGGTATTTTTCATCACAGGTTTTTATGGCTTACGATGCAGGTTTATCTCTCTGAGGTGCTGGATTTGGTTTCCAAATGGGACTAAGTAGTGTAAAATGACAGCGACTTTTACTCATAATTATCTCGTACGCTGAAAAAATGAATTTGTTGTAAAACCGATGGCATAGAATGGTCTGAGTTACGGAACTTGAAAGTTAGTACACTAAAATATAGAATTCATAAAGTTAGCAGAAAGGCGCTGGATGCAGGCCACTACCTACCGGTCAATATGGAAGTCTTTCTTTTTTTTAGGATTTCATTTTTTTTATATTTTTTTGGTATCAGTGTCGTGTATACCAACCACCCTTGAGATGGGAGTTGTTTTACAAACCACACCCTGTATATTGTGGCAGTCTACCGCTTCAGTTTGCCTTAGGCGATATCGATCACTCGAATTATCTATCCCTAACACTCGTATGTTCACCGCCCCATCTTTATCAAGTTAGTTAAAGCAAAGCACGTGCCTAATCAAATGAATCACGTGGTCTGATAGTGCCGAATGTGATTTAGGACCACCTCGTGGAATGCGGCTAGGTTGTAATTAGACAGCCTTTGAAATTCCAAAAGCCGTTTTATTAGAACTGCTCCTGTCTGCGGCTTTGACCGCGCGGATTTTGGTTCGTCATAGTTTTAATTACGAAATAATCTAAGCTGTTCTGAAATAATATTTTATTTTCTAATAAAACAACTGATGAATACGATTTTTATATTTTTTTATTGAAAACTGAAGGGTTTCACTTTTTTTTTATGCATAACAAGGCAGGTATTTGACCACAATCGCACCTGATGTTAAGTGGGATGCAGTCTAGGATGGTACATATCTGCCCTGTAAGTGCTTATTCACTCTCGCCTTGAAGAGGCCGGGATTATAGTTTTCGGGAAAGACAGCAGCAGGCAACGAATTCCAGTCCCTAGCTGTTCGCATTATAAAAGAGTCATCGAAACGCTTAGTGCGAGCTGGTGGAATGTCAACAATATAGGGATGGTACGGTGGTTAAATACTTTTGATTTTCAGGATCCAGTACCTACCCAAATTCTACAAGACTATGTTACATTTCTCTAGCTCAGCAAATCGGAGCAATCAAAATATAACATGCATCAAAATTGGATTGATTGATCTAAAGTGATTTTGATAACATATACAAAAAAAAGTAATATCAAAGTCTGTTCTCTTCAATATCAATCCATATTCTAGTAATTGGCGTCTAGACGTATAAAACAAGTGAAGGAGGGCAATAAATCCAACACGCATTTGAGAGATTTCTAGCGAATAATCCTAAGTGCTCGATAAATGATAATCGTATAATGACTCCGAATCTCGAACGAAGTTAGAACGCCTCCCTTCAACCTTTGCCAATTTGACGCAAGATTGATTCAATTGAGTTCCCGCCATTGCCATTCTCTATGCATCCGGATAATACTTCAAGTGGTTTTGAGTACCCACCGGTGTAATCTGAGCTTCCTAGCCTTTGATCCGGTTTTGGAGGAGTTCTCGAAAGAGTTGCATCGATGTATGTACGTGGGTCAAGTTACGGTGGTCGCTTTCATGTCTCCCGAGTCCTGACGTTGAGGATTCGGATCGGCCATAGGACCCCTTTCTATGGCGTGAAATTGAATCTTGTTGCGGGTGGAGGGCGCGGAAAACTTAAATATTTTAGGGGAATTACCATCCAGCCGGCTATCTGGAGGTGAGGTATTAATTTTACGACCCCATTGTAACAGTAGAGGGACGTATGAAGTCGTTAAGTTTTAGCAGTCGTTTGTAGGATTTAGCTTGGGGTCGAGTTGTGACTTTTGGCGGGTGCAATTTGAATTAATTAAAATTAGCAAATGTTGAGGGCGCATCATAAGTCCCTTGTGTGTGACGTCAGATGATGAGATTATGTCGACGCTCGTAAAAACTTTGGATTTCAGTTAACTTTGGTGTGTGGAGAGATTTGGAACTAAAATGTCGTTTAGGGCGGAATTAAAATATGGCGGTAGGGAGAGGAACATGGCGCTAATTAATAATCCAGGTTCTCATTTTCTTCAATGGCACTGGTCTTTCGAAATGTTTTCAAGCTATGGGACGTAATTTATGGTGAGGTACTAAGGTAGCAATAAGATTATGATTTTGGTCGTAAAAGCATTCTTACCGATTGTTTCATATAAAGTGTGATTAAATAATTTACCTATTGATCTTTGGTATCATATACATACAACATTTCCTGAAAGTAGTTCTCGTACTTAGCTTATTGCAACGTCTAAAGCACGTGCATTTCTTCTCAAGCGAAGATCAATTATCGCTGCCAACCCGTTTGTCTAAACACAGAATACCTTTGTCTGAGCAGGCCCGCTCATCCGACTGGGGGCCGTCACGTGAGGGGTTCCGTCCCCGGGGAAGTCAATTTCATTAATACTGCGGTTGTTTCTTGCCCCGCCGTGGGAGGGTCGTACATTTTTAAGTACATTAACCGTAATTGAATACCTGCTGTTTTTCTGCAATTAATTAGGATTAAGGTGTCCCTGGGAAGGTTACTGGTGTACTTATACAGGCTTGAGGAAGAAATTTGCCTGTAATACACCAAGCCAAGCCATAATAAAATGTTAGAGATTTTATATTAGCAACATGGTATCTGAACTCACCATAGTACGAGTATACGCTTGGTGTCTAGTGTTTAATGCCAATGTTCTTGCTTCTAGTGTGTCAGTGAAGTCAATATAAACTGAGGGAATATCAAAACTTCATTGCACCTGAAACGAAATTAATCAGAATAAAATATGCTAAAAATTTATCCATCCGGCGCATATGGTATAAAATACGAGATAGCAAGTACAGGTTTAACTAAGTACAATTGTACAATAGCACTTTATCATAGGGAAGAGTACATCAAGAGCAGACTATACGTATATTTTGTAGCAAAAACCTTAATTATTTTTTCTTATTGTGACTCATCTGAGTTATTAATCTTCAAAATCAATTTATTTATAAGAAAAGTTTCTCCATAAATTAGGGTAAGTATAATATTTTACTACGTCCCGACCCCGGGTCCCTGTAAGCTGATGTGCTCTGGAATTTTTTCTAAGCAAAGTTAATAAGTTTGTCTGTTTATTATTCTAGCCAGCACAACGCCTGCCGCAAAACATATTTTTCACATAAAGAAAATATGGAGGCTTAAAGAGTTTGAGTTTTTTGTGGTGTAATCTTAAGAGATTACCCCGAAATACTTTCAAAGGGGAGAGGGCTGAGAAAAGAAGATTGTTTTAGAAGTGTTTTTGTTTGTAAAAACTTTTAAAAGCATTAGAGGATTTCTTTTAAAAAGTATGGCGCTTGATTGAATCTGGTGGCTGCAAAAATTTAGTTTATAGAAACAAAGTATTCAGTTCATGAATATGAAATTATTCTTATTGGTCTCTAGAATCTCTAGCTTGAGGTTTTTATTTATCCAAAATAATAAATAACCAAAGTTAGGGGTTTTTTTTCCCAACGAGTAACATACGTTTCGATACTGTTGGGAACAAGCGATTTCAACCAAATATACTTGGAAGGTGTAATAAAACAATAACTATACATTGTATCTCTCTAAATCTGTCACAGTGTTCGGTGTGATATTTATTAGTTATTATCCGTATAATATATCAAATATCGTTATCTGAATGATAAACTCTGATAAAGTCAGCTAAGTTTCAAAAATCAATAAAAAAATATAGTCTGGGCTAATTTTATTTATGAAATCACAAAATTAAGGGTAATAAATAAAATAGCGAAAAAGGAGGCAAGTCATAATATCCTGATTAGAGATTATGTTAGTTCGAGTGCTAAAACATCATCATCATTTCAGCCGTAGGACGTCCACTGGTGAACACAGGCCTCCCCCAATGATTTCCACAATTTGGCCGGTGGCAGCCTGCACCCAGCGTCTTCCTCCTACCTTTATGATGTCGTCAGTCCACCTTGTGGGTGGACGTCCTACGCTGCGCTTACTGGTNTCTCTAGTAAGTATGTAGCAGTTAAACACGACAAGTGTCATAACCGAGAAATTGAACCCTGCCCTCAATTGGCGATCCGCGAAGTTTTATCTTAGTTGGCCCCATGTCCGTAGATTTCGGGATTTCTCCGCTAAATGTCCAACTTTTGCCGCCTTCTAATAGACAAAGTTGTGCAATTGGACAATCGCCGAGCTCAGATACGGTTAATGTCCGTGTAATTTTTGAAGATAGCAAATGTAATGATGGCATTTGCTTCTTAATGTATTTGAACGCGGCGTTTATGAAATGTACGAGTATACGCGGTGTATTTTGTTATGACGATAGCGCTTGTATTGTGCTTTGTGATATTTTTCCATCATTATTTTTGTGATAAATACAACTTCAAACATAGTACAGTTTTGTAAAATATGTTTGATTATGAGAATCATCCAGAATAATGTGCCTGCTAAGGATGATGATGAACCTAAATATTTTGAATAGGTAAGTAGGTAATTAACTTTATGTACACAACTAGGTACTCTTAATTTGATTTAAATTAATCTGACAATTTTAATTATAATGATTTAAACAATATTTGACCAGCTTATCGCCCTTGTATCTAATCTCAATAAAATTATTTTTTATTAGCGATTAGGACTGAGATAACCATTATCATTTGACTTAACTAAATAATTAATTCAGTTGAAATCGTTCTCCGACCGTCGCGATGGCCGCACGATACATTTTCGTTCCGATTTTAATCTCGCTTGCATTTTCTTGTGTGAATTGTGTGCAAACAGTCAATGGACGGGTCAAAATCTTCGTCGGTCTCACAGCGGGGTGTTCTGACGCACGAAACTTCATCCCAAATCAGTTAGTCCCGACATATGCGCAGTACGGACAATTTTTGGACCTGGAATTTGTCCCATGGGCAAGGACTCGAAGACTCGAAGACGGGAGTTTATCGTGCCAGTTTGGCGTTCCAGATTGCTGGGCGAACCGACTTCTTAGATGCACGCTGGATCATTTGAAGGCCAACAACACAGCTCAATTGGAGTACATGGCATGCGAGTACCGAGCTCCTTTCCCCGCATTCTCAGGGAGTTTCCAATGTGCGACCAACGCTGGCTATGGACTCACACAGGCAGATTTTTGTGTGAACAACCCTCAACTCGATACCTTGGACGAAGAAGCTGAGGCTAAAGGGACAGGGCCGATCCAAACCATAAATTTCGTGCCGTCAATCGTTTTCAACGACGACATAGACGTGGACGCGCATTGGCAAGGCTTTTCCAGACTTTCGAGTGTTGTGTGTTTCGCGTTAGCCGATGACCCTACCACTGGTGTATTGGGATGTCAAATTTAAAAAGTCGGACGGCATTTGGCTGAAACGACGACGACGACGACTTATCTATGTTACTAATTTAACCAAAAAACTGTTAAAATGGTAATCCCGTTGTAATGTTGTTTCTATAGTACTCAATTGTGATTGTAAAAACAAAAATTATTCTTTTATAGCATCTATGGCGTATTGTGATTAATTGTTGTAAAAAAATTTTCTCTATAAATTAAACGGAATAAGACAATATTTTGCAAACAAGGCCTTTTTTCCCGACTGCGCCAGAAGGAGGTTTGTTTTTATCCTGAATAGTTTAGACAAGCTTTATTTCAGTAACTCGAACTTGTTAAACTCGTTAAATAAATGTCAACAAATGTTTTCATAAATTTTTTGTACAGTCCATTTTAGACGTTAGTTAATTTTCACCGTGCAGCGCGGAGTGAATTGAAAATATCAACATGAGCTAATTTCGGGGTAATTTGCTCGGGGACTCTAATTTGGCGTTTCGTTTGCATTCCGTAATGGTTTGCAAACGACCCCTAACTGCCCGACGGTGAATACTGCACAATGTGCACAGAGCTTTAACGATGTGCCCAAACATTGTGATATAGTGGGATAAACTGGACTGTTAATGCTTAAGTCTTAAAGACAACATTTCAAATACTAAGACGGATTCGAGTTGGATCAAGCTTGGCACTATGTAATAGAGAATGTTTTAAGTGCTTACACTCCTTGAGACTGAACCCTCAGTTTTAATTAACGACCTAGGATTAATATGCAGTACTTTTTTAAATTAATATCAATACTTGGTCAGATCAATTCTATTCTATAGACAATCAAAGACCTATGTACTTAAGTGTGAATACCTCATGAACTCTACAGAGTACATAGCCAGAATTCAACTTATTCCAGTGTTCTCTACATTTGGTTTACACGGGACAATTAGCTCTTTTCACTAGGATCCAACGAGGCTCCAATGGTGGGTCCTGTGTTATTATCCTGTACAACCCGACGATAGCGTGTCCATGGGAAAATGAAAGCTATTTTACAGGCAATAGTGTCAATTAATGAGATTCAAGCTAGCTAATAATTGAACCTAGTGCCCACCAGGTCCGTATTTGTTTTTTTCCTGCCTTTAAGTACATACCTTCTGGAAAGTACCTTCAGAAGATAATTATGTAAAGGCGGGAAAAAAACAAATGTTAGCGCGAGCTAAAGGAGCACAACGCCATCTATTATCCCAAATAGAAATTCGGTTTCACTTGCTAAGAGGTTGCTTTTAAACTCAAACTTATGCAGTCCTCTAAAATGTAAAAGCTTGGTACCCCTAAGACATTATTCCGTTATGGACGGCCACATGAGCCAATAATGCCGCTATTAGGCGATTGAAAAATGTCACCGAGTCCACCACTCACGACGCGGGACATTAGGCGCGCGCGCCGGTCGGTTGGTGCTAAGTGAATGACGATGACGCTGGGAAATCGTGGTACATCGAGTGTGAATGGATGTTTAACGAAACTTTTTGGACTTTTAGTACCTATTTACTTATTAATTTATTGAAAAGGCTATGTAGGTTTAATTTATGGTACACCTTTATTTTTAACCCCACCCGTCTGGCCAGCTGTAGCGTGGTAAGTATAGGCTACATAACTAACATAGGATACCATAGCATCAAGCTTAATGTGCCGCCGAATGTAGATTAATCTGTGCATCTTTTGATAAAAAAAATCTCGCGGGTACAAGCTAATAGTCTCTGAATAAAAAAATACTAAATGCCGAACTCCAAAATAAAACCTATTCGTAGCTTTGCATGAAGAACAAGCAAAGTCGTATTTGTTCAGTTAAATATTGCATGTTAAAAATAACTTCATATTTTGTAAAGAGACTTGTAAATGACTTAGTTTTATATCAAAACTTCCGATAAACCTTGAAAGATACCACGCGCGATGCATTTCAAAGTTAGGTACTAGAAGTTCCAGTAAAACATTTTAAATCTAAATGTTTCTGTGATAAAATGCAAACGTTCAAGTAATTCATACCATGGGCGTCAAATGCCAAAGGGAAACATGGAAGAATAGTAGGTGTATTAAAAAGTCGACGAGTAGCGAAATTTTTTAAGAACGTACACTTTTCAGTACAGTTCAGCATATAACTTTTAGTACGGAGGTTTAATAAATTACCTGAACCTTAACTACTCGTAAGTTGTAAAGCCTAATGGTACAATTCCGAATTATGAATGTAGGATCAAAAATAGTTCCAAAATATTTTTCTTTCATATTATTAATATGTATGAATACCGTTTCCGTCAGGACGTTTATTTATACGCGTACCATATGTAGCCTGGTCTACCACTTCAGGACAACATAGGGATAAAAATACCGATTTTTTTTACATCTTTACATCGTTCTTGGTCCCTAAAAATTTTAAGATGAAGCTAATGCTTCAATGAAATTATTTTAATGCAAAGATAATTTATATTAATCTCAATTTTTAAATATTTATGACAGGCCTCCCACTAGATGGACCGACGATCTGGTGAAGGTCGCGGGAGGCGCCTGGATACGAGCGGCATAGGACCGGTCTTTGTGGAAATCCTTGAGGGGGGGCCTTTGTCCAGCAGTGGACGTCTTTCGGCTGAAACGAACGAACGAATGAACGAAATATAAAACAGTATTTTTGATACTCATTTCGATAGCACAGTTTTCTGATTTACTTTTTTTAACTTTAAATTGGCTCCATTTTATAACTTCACTCAGACTAACAAATTGAAGTGCTTAGAAAAACCTGTAAAACTCCACCTATTGGATTTTCCGTTGACGCACACCGAACCCTGTAAAGGGAAGTAATACACTAGGGCAAAGAGATGTAACAAACGGCCGGTGCGGTGGAGGTAGGCATGTAAATAATTGAAGAAGTGTGGTCCCCGTCGTGTCGGATCGTCTAGCCGCCGGATCAATACCGGAACCGGTTTGGAGATTGTACACAAGCCTGGTGTAAGTTTTCTTCAAGAAAAAGNTTTCTTCAATTAATACAATTAGAAAAATAACTCTTGGATGTACCTAATTATACTTCAAGTGCGTTGGTGACCGAATTTAAGTTGAGATGTGGCTGCATTTTTAAGCATGGACAAGTAGGTAGGCGACAGCATATTAAGCTGCACACAGAGGCCCGATTCGACCAAACTTTTATTCGAGAATAACTCCTGGTATAACTAGCAAGCACATTGACAGTTTCAGTATGTGAAATATGTCAAAACTGACGATTTATTCTGAGATTAATATTTACTCCTGTTTGGTCGAATCCACCCTGAAACGTCTTTAAGTGGTCGTAATAGGGGTTGAATTTGATATTTTTATTACATTTTTGTTCGACATAAAGACGATGACAACGACAATAAACATCCAGAACGTTTAGCCACTTTATTATTAGATTATATCTCCACAAATTTAACCATACCACTTACATCTCGACTCTTCTCACTCGGGCGTGGCGCTTAATTTGAAAATATTAGGTATTAAAATACCCACCCTACAGTGTCTAATGAAATTTTCGTTTCTTGCAATAAAACCACCACGTGCCATTTTATTGCACATTTTAAGGCTTCAAAAGGTTAACGTAGAAAACATAGATTAAGCATTATCATCTTTGGAGAGATATAAAGCAAAGCAAAGCGTAAAAAACAGTTCTGGTTATCGGTCATCTTAGAACTCATCTTAGAATCCAGGACCCATAAAATATAAAGTTGTAGTTTATCTGACAGGTAAGTAATTTCCTAAGGTATCATAGGCTCGGAATTATTATATCAACTAGAATACTATCTCTTACAGACATTATTCAATTCATGGTGTCTTATTATAGGTAGCGGCCAGCGTCCAGCGCATCGATCAAAATGGAAAGCATTGGGGCAGGCCTATGTTCGGCAGTGGACGTCCTATGGCTGAAATGATGATGATCATGATAATGATGTTATGATAATAGGTAATTACGAACCCATCCTCAATTCAATTAGTTTACTCGCTCCAAATTCCAGCTGACCCGGCGATCTCCTTACCACCTATGTTCATCAAAAATAATGTAAAATTCTCACGGTGAAACAATTTTTCAAATCGGTCCATTATTTTCGGAGCTTATTTCATTCGGAGCTTATACAAACAAACAAAAAATAAAATATTTTCTTTTTATAATAACGTAGATTACGATAGACGCGTTTTATGCTTTTCCCGTTATCAAACTTGATCAGAATTTATCGTCGGGTCTGCAAATTGCGTAATGAGAAAAAGGGCATATTACGCGTTCGTTATTCTAAAGTAGGGTTCAAGATATATATTTCTTAATAAAAAACTACTAATTGGTATTTATTAACTTTTTGCTTCATTATTTTGCAAAGTTCCATTAGGTCTTTAATTTTAGAAGTGAATTAAGGTCTTAAATTAACTACTGCAATGAGGCACCCTATTAGTTTGAGTAATGTATTTAAAAAGTTTATCTTAGCGTTTAGTTAGTAAACTTTGAAAGTAAAGTTAATATTTTGATCTTTGTTTCAAAGTAAATCTATGGTTTCACAATAATTTTGCCGTAGAAATTAAATAGGTAACTAACAGTAATAAATATTATTACTACTTATTTTGGGAAATAATATTAATTAATGGATGCAGTATCAGAGAGTATTTTATAATTCACTAAAGTACTCACTCGTGAAAAGCACGTAATGCAAAAAGCATAAAATATTTCATTAAAACAAATTAAAGTGCTCATAAAGTTTTCGTTACAGCTTCGTTTAATAAGTCATCGTAAAGAAGAAAATTAAGTCTCTTTAATAATAAAAAGAGCTCTATGTACTACTTCGTTGACACAGTAGGCTCTCTAGTAAAATTAATAATTTATCAAGACAAGTGCCAAGTTGATAAATGATGATAAAAAAGTACGAGCAAAATTTTGGGGTGTTCCAGTACCGATTTTAAATGGATCCTACTGTAAAACTAAACTTGTGGTCTGAGTGGTATTCAGGCCCTTTAAAGAGCATTACTCTTACGATGATAATAGAATGAAAAACTAAAGAAGGCAGCTTTAATTTTGTCTGGATAAAAAGTGGAAGATTATACTATAAAGTCTAACGATACTTACAATCCGAGCACCTCGCTAGAATGCGAAACTCCCTCCCACTTACCCGCACACATCGCCGCGTTTGCCCCATCCATACCAGAGCGTCGATGTGACATCACGGCAGCTAGTTGCGCAGTTACTCGACCAGGTTATACTACGCCCAGAAACGATGATGATAATGCGATTTTCAAGTAGGTATAGGAGTGAAAATGTGCTTGGCGGTGTATTGTTGCAGACGAGTCGAAGAAAATCAGCAAGACTTGGAGCGTGATCAAACGAGGAC